AAATAAATTGAACTAGGATTGGTAAACAAGCCGTAATGGCTTATTTGAATACCTCTCCATTTCAGTGATACATGAATAAAACAAATATTAAATAATATGCAGCATGATAGGAAAGCAAGCAACCTGCGTATTAAACATTATTAATCATTTATCAAACCTATGCGATTTTATTATAAAAGTATGGACAGATTGTAGTATGAAACAATTTACAAGTACAGTTTTGTTTGGATTACCATTTAGGACAGAATTTAAATTATATCCATGTTCGTAAAAATACATGCGATGTCTGATGTTAGAATAATTAGGACAAGTAAAGAAGTAATGTAAAGTATCCTCATAGGGGGTGACCACAGGAACAGAATGGATCAACTGAAATGTGCCGTTCAAACATGTGCGCTTTCAAATTACTGCACCCAAGTCTGAGGCATGAGTGGATAATTTGGCAGAAACGTGTACCAACGTTTTTATCAAATATATTAAAATTGGGTGGTTTTGATGATTGAATGCATTTTGAATTTGCCTATGGTTTCAATATCGTACATATTCTCAGGCAAATCATTCCATTGTCGTATTGTATCTGGTAAAAACGAGTTGCTATACAAATCACTACGGCATCTTATAGTTTGAATGTTATTACAGTTTCTTTGTCTATGGTCACTTAACTGTGATACCTTTTCGGGCAGTAGATCACTTAAATAAACTGGTGTCATATGATGAACCATTTTGTAAAATAATGATAACTTGCTAATTTGTCTACGGTCAACTAGGGGCATAGAGTTAGTTTCCTTATGTATTAAATCATGACCAACTGGTCTATAGTTTTTACATTCATTAAAACTACCTTTTTTATGAATAGGAGTGACAACAGCTTCCTTCCATATTGTTTGGAATTTACAACATTCTAGGGATAAATTGAATAGATTAGTAAGAGGAGTACAAAGGGATGGCACGATCACTTTGATAAATCTGTTACCTATTTTACTTTACATTCAGGTGTAGGAGTCTCCTTATCAGGATAGTCAACTTGTGCATGGTTAGCAAAATATTCATTAAATATATTTGCTTTATCTTTACTATCATTGATCAGATTATCGTTATGAATAATCGAAGGAAATTTCTTATAATCTCCATTTTTTGAATTTTATATACTTATTCACTAAAGCCCACCAACATTTAGAATTACTCCCCTGATTGATCTTATCATCTAAATCAGAAATATATTTCAATTTGACTGCTCTCACGGCTGCTGTTACTTTGTTCCGTAAAAGCCTAAATATTTGCCAGTCTTTATCATAATTTCGAGTCTTTGCTTTCTTATGCTGTCTATTTCTTTTCCTTGTAAGTACTCTTATAGCACTATTCATCCATGGATTGTCCCGAGGTCTTATAATTACCACATTGTTTGGGACATAAATATCGGATATATTTCACAAAACATCATCAAATTCATGTGTTAGTATATCAATATCATTACATCTAAAGATGGAATTGGGTTGTTATATATAGGTACTTTTAATATTGTGGAATTATTTATAAACTGATTACAGGGATGGACTGTTTTAATCTACCCCCTTGTCTTGTCACCTTTTAATCTACTTTTTCAAACTGCAAACATGTTTTGAAGCGTTGTATTATTTTCTGGAAGTTACGACTTCATCTATTTAATGGAACAATACACAAAGTTGTGAGTTTCGAAAACTGAATTAGAGTTTCAGAATAGCTTACGAGATAACTGAACTGACAGATAAAAAAAGCATACACATATATTTGCATTGACGGCGGTTAAAATTGACAAAAATAAAAATGGTTATTGGATTGCGATATATTTTTAATACGGATGTCATAGTGCCGTGTTCGACCTTCAGTTTGCAGCGTTTCGACGTTTGTTTTAAGACCTGGACGTTTGGTTTCACTTGTGTACTTTCTTTTGCAGGCCAATTTACAAGCGTATCGTAACGTTGTTTATTAGAGGTGAATCATTTACAAAACAGAAGTTATATATAATCTTATTTTTCAACACTACATATAATAATAATAATAATGTGTCCATTTATATAGCGCCAAACTCCACACTAGGTATGCTCATAGCGCTAACAATCAAGGCCATTATTACCCCGGATAACCCAAGCTGCCTGTTAGGCGCTAGAAGGTTAAATTTTTCCAACGGGTACCCATTTTCCTGCTGGGTGAACAGAGACAATTTTGAACAAACTCACTTGCCTTAGGTGAGACCACATGTGTCAGATGTGCTTCGTTGTGGGGCAGGACTCAAGTCCTAGAAACTCTCAGGACTCAAGCTGCCAAACACGGTCACCCATCCAAGGACTCTCCGAGCTCGACGCTGCTTAACTTCACCGATTTGTGACCTGAGCTTTAAGCACAGGACCACGCGCCACCACTAGGACTACGCGCCACCACAAGACATAAAATGTTTCAACTTTGAGAGATATTAATTGACTCAACGCTTAAATCTGGGGAGTTGACACGGTTATGACCTAAATCCACGTATGGACGGAAGTTTGTTCATTAGCTTATGATCGGAAGTGAATGTTACCTGGTACAAACATTCACACTTGGTGAAGCAATGTTACCTAGTACAAACATTCACACTTGGTGAAGCAATGTTACCTGGTACAAACATTCACACTTGGTGAAGCAATGTTACCTAGTACAAACATTCACACTTGGTATCTATTCAGCAAGTCATCTTTACTCACCAAGACTCACCCGTTACTCAGTACTATTGACACTGATGTAATTAATCTTAACTGACTAACCTCATCCGGGACATTGTGAAGCGTTGATTGCTTGTGTGTTTATTATGAGTGAGTTACTTACGTCACTCATCTTCTGATCACAAAGCGGCTTGTGTTTTTGTAGAATGGTATGGGATGGTGAGGTCCGTGGTGTCAAAATTGGCGTATCAGGTTAAAATATTTTGTCAAGCATTGGATTAAGTAAAATATGGTTAAGGCAGGAATTACTACTATATTATCTAATAGTTATGAAACAAAAACAAAAAGACCAAGGCGGCGGGTAGCCTAGTGGTTAAAGCGTTCGCTCGTCACGCCGAAGACCCGGGGTTCGAATTCCCACATGGGTACAATGTGTGAAGCCCATTTCTGGTGTCCCCCCGCCGTGATGTTGCTGGAATATTGCTAAAGAGGCGAAAACCAAACTCAGTCAGTCAGTACTGCTGACACTGATGTAATTAATGTTGACTGACTAACCTCATCCGGGACATCATGAAGCGTTGATTGTTTGTGTGTTTATTATGAGTTATTTACGTCAGTCATCTTCTGATCACAAAGCGGCTTGTGTTTTTGTAGAATGGCGTGGGGTGGTGAGGTCCTCGAGCGACGTCATTGGGTCCAGGAGCCGATCCAGTTGGGTAGGCTAGTTGAGTTAAACCTTGTATTCATTGCATCCATGGTCCAGTATTTGACGCCCCTGCCTAGTGTCCTCTTGAGTGTACGTAATATGATAGAAACTTGCTAAAGTGTCGTAAATAGAAGCGACTAGACACTTCCTATGTTGAAAAGACATCTCCACCAAAAGTAGAGTCGATGTTACGATTTGAACTTTGCCAGAAGTACGTTTTCATGAATCACGAGGTGTTCGCGAATAGGTTCCCCACTACTCACAAACCTTTCACTTGATCCATTTGTAGTGACGATTCATTTTTATTGACGAAGTGGTAAACCAGAGTAGATTTATAACTTCCAGAATACGTCGAGGACATTTAATTGAAGGATGAGAAAGCCGCAATAACTCAGTGAGTTGTATGATCCCCAGGGAGTTGAGATTGATAATAAGATGTGCCTTTGGGATTGACATCCAGTGATCGACGGAATAATTACCAGCGCCTTCAGCATGTACTAGTGCGTGGATATGTGCGCTACATAAATATTCAATAATAATAATAATAATATTCTATGAACTAATCACAGAAAACCGTGTTCGCGAGGGAAATTTCCACCCTACCAGTAACACCTGCCGCTCACTAACTCGTATTAAATACCTAACGAGGAAATACCGTAGGGATAACGATTTATGTTCGTTTTTTGAAAATAATTGTTGCTGGAAATTTTAAAATATTAAAGAAAATTATGCTGCCGACTGACAGAGTAGTGTATATCCTGAAATGTGTTAATCAGGCTCATTGTTTCAAAGTGTCCCGGGATATCGACCATTTTGGGCGTGCCATGAACCCAGCAACTAAACAGTCGATTTTACAGCCAGGGACGTGGGGCACTGGCAACATTGCAATAGTGTAGTGTTTGCAACTTGGAAGCCACAATGAAACGTTTTTCAAAATGTTTACGTGTTTTGTTTTAAACAACACCAAAACTCTAGGTGTGTACTTTCTTTTTGTACGTCAGTTTAGTTGAGCATATACACGTGCTAATGATATAGGTGATCGAGGTGAGTTGAAATGGGGTTTAACGTCGTATTCAAGAATATTTCACTCTAATGACGACGTGCATGCATATGTGTGGCTGTTTGTATTAGCCCAGACTTAAACTGGTTTTATAGTGCTAGCTCATTGCCACAGGAATACCCAGCTCAGACACATTATACTGACTCCGAGCCGACCAGGCCTCGTTGTACCCATTCATGCGGAACGCCATATAGGGACCACGTATTTTGGTATGACGCGGCCGGGGATCGAACCCACGACCATCCGCTCTCCTGGCGGACGCTCTAACCACTACGCCATGGAGGCGGTCCTAATGATATAGTCAAAATGGTTTGTCCTGATTATGAAAGGGTTTCCTGAAGTGTACCGCTGTTACCCCACTGGCATATTGCCGAGTGCGGCGTAAAACAACCAACCAACAAGACGTGAAGTAAAAACCTCCAACACCGGGTGTCCCACAGTAACAGTCTTGGCGACGGATGTAGCAGAGGGAGAGTCGGCAAACCATGATGACAAACATCAGTATTCATTTTGTCTTTATTTCACGTTATTTTCAACAAAAACAGTACCTAAGGTCCGCTTCAATGTCTAACAAGCACTATCTGGGGGATCAGCTCCTTCACTGCTGATAGTGGAACGGGTAGGGATACCCTGGGTACAGACTGGGAGGGTACATCATCGGTACGTTGGGTGCTGGGTACTGATACATGGGCTGGTGCATCATGGGAGGCGTGTAGCCGTATCCTGGAGCAGACGACAACATGGCCGCCATGTTTTGCTGCTGGAGAGGGTAGTTCATCATCTTGGTGTCGGATGTTCTCTTGTTGCGTGATCGCCTGTTCTGAAACCACACCTGTGAGGAAAACAAGAATAATTTGGTAACTCAAAGAACAGCATTAGCACCACTAGTACACTGATTCTGGCTGTTCGACATCACATAAGAAACGCATAAGGAGAAATGACTTCTGTCAAACTGTCAAATTAAGAGAATGTTTTCAGTCACATCACTTAGTCCAACAGAAGACTGAATGAGAAGAAATGAACAATCATCATTACATCATTATGCTGGCATTGTGTACGTAATGTACGTAACAAGGTACAATCAGATTACAAAAGAATGTTTACCTTTAATCTCTTTACTGGAATATTCAGCTCCTGGGACAAATCTTCATACAACTCTACATCAGGGTATTTGTTCTCCAGAAACACCTGCTTCAACCTCCTCGCTTGCTTCTCGTTGTAGTTCTTCCTCGGATTCGCGGAGACACAGTCTTCCTCCAGTGTCTTTGGTGAGGACAGCTCTGACACAATTTCTTCTTCCTCGGTAATGGAGGATGTTTCCACAGAGACATGATCTTCTTCCTGACCTTTTGGGGAACCACGATCATCCTGAGTACCTGTAGAGATTCGCCCTGAGAGGGAGGAACTGTCGGCGCTGTGGGTCGGGCTGGAGTTACTGTAGAAACCACTGGAAGCTGTACTTCCGTTTGGACTGGCGCTTTCGACATCAATGAGGTCATCTGCTGATGTACGGAAACGCACTAACATATTAACAAGCCGCTTTTAACAATATCCCAGCAATATCAACCAATTCATCAGTTAATACATAAATAATTACAGTAAATTGAGAACATAATTTCTTTGACAGAATATTAGTATGTTACAGGTTCTTGATCCCTGTATGTGTAATACGACAATCTTACCATAAGCATCGCTTGATGATGGAAGCGTGCTCGTCTTCAGAATCCGGACATCCAGTTGTTCTACGTGTGATGGACACAGGCTAACCGGTAGGCTGATGGTTGGGGGCGTGTCTGTACGGGTCTGGAGACTGAGGGGTAACTCAGGGTAGGACTGGAGGTGGTGAAGACTGACAGGAAAAGCAGGAATTTCACATCTTTCGATTTTGTTTTGAAGGTAACATCTGTAAGGGTGACTGAGCTTTCCATCAACTTTGGATGTCTGCGGAGACTCTGGTATCTGACAACGAAGAAGATGTTCAAGTTTGAGGCCTCCGAATCCTTGGGGATTGGTCGTTGCTATGAAGCCCTCACATGCTGCTTCCGGTTTGGTTAATGAAGTCCTGTCTGTGATGCTGGGCTCTGAGGTCTGGACGTCATCTGACTTCATGATGTCCTCGATGGAGAATGGAACACGACGTCTGGGAGGCGCTCTCTGTGCCTCTGAGGACAACGTATTCGTGGGACCTTGGAACACACTTCCAGATGGAGTCGGAACAGCCTCGGCACAACCTGAAACGTAATAACGAAGGCAGATGCTATATTCACAGGTGTACGGGTATGCTTTGGTCAATGCCAATCTCGATTACCCGACTAAATAGTTTCCATGTCCTGACTCACAGGAAGCAGTTACAATGTCAGTAGTCAGCCTTGTACACAATCAACCATCACCACAATTTCAGATTTTACGCAATTTCAAGGATGGAATGTGCTCTCTACTTACTATGGGCAGATAGATATATGAAGTGGAAAGGTAAAATGTATAATACAAGAAATTGCATGAGTAACGATAGCCTAGGAAGTCTACAGACATGTATTATATTAAACATCAAAACTTTCAAAAGAAACAATTTTCAGTGAAAGGTGTTACAGGCTGAGACATAACATACTTGAATAAAACTATACAGGCACAAAATGAAATTCATCTTCAGTAAGATTTTCCGCATTTAATGTGTGTTGTACGCGACATGCAAATAGGTGTTATTGAATTCTGACGCAACATGTTTCTGTATCACATCTCATGACATGTTAACTTATTTCAATGTAAACCATTCACTTTTCTTTGCATTAACACTTATGAGCACGGGATTTGCGTATGGGGCTGTGTGGAGTTGAGCTGTATAGTTGAGCTGAATAGTTCAGCTATGGCTTACAACATATTCATGTGTGTACCTGTGTAGAATCCATTTGGGTAGATCTGTATTCAATATATTCAAGATGCTTCAGGACCGACAGGAGGTGTTATAAAGACCAAGGAGAACTATCCTAGCATTTTATAGTGATGAGTGAGTTCACTTGTCGTCTCCCTCAGACAAAGCGACAGATTGGGGAAAAGGATCACAGTTACATGACGTCTCAATCAGCAGCAGCATCTGTAACAACATCTGATCATTGCCTGTATGCGTAGAGGGTTCATTCCTGGAAGACGACAACAAATCCGTGGAGCATGCAAGGATTTTGTGTGATTTTAAGAACAGGGATGATACTAAATTGTTCACCGGTAAATAAATGATATACTCCCACGAACAATTATTTACACCCCTTAAAATACATATCACATTTTTATCCGTGACCATTTTTCGATAATAAATAATTTATATACATTGAATGTCATTATTTTCATGGAAAGTATATTTTACAAGATAGCATTGAATGATGTCCACAGTATTTAATACATATAGATATACATTTTTCATAATATGAATTAATTAATTACATATATGTAAATTATAAACAATAACACCACAATTATTTATACACCATCCACAATTAAGAAGCATTTATTAATGTAAACATCACACATGAATGAAAATTCCTCTCACACTCACTTTTATGTCATTATTTACCGGTCCGTGGTTATGTTGGCCAGGACGTTTGGTGATGATGTCGTCAACTGTAGAAATAGTTGAAGTGCAGTTCTTGTCTAGGCACATCCATGACGTCCACGATGCAGCATTGCGTTTGCGATTCACTCTAAACTTGTATCCATCTGCACAGAGATACCTCCTCTACGTGAAGTTGGAATGAACTTGTACTCTAACTGCTCATTTGCCATTTCGAAGGTGATGTATTGGGTTGCGGATAAGCAGGATATATACCCATAATAATTAGTGAGTAAATATTAACACATAATCAGTGAACTAAAATCAGTGTCAAAGGCAATCAGTTAGTAGTGAGTTGAAATCAATGAATGCCAATCAATAAGCAGTGAGTTGATACCATGTCAATTAACACCGATCTCGTTATGCAGTTCAGTTTATAGTATAACCCACCTCTCTAATCCATTGAAACAACATGAGTCTACCTCGGCGAAACATCAAAGGATTTTCACAGTAATACCAAATGTCGTCTTCCCGGAAGACACCGCGTAAAGATGCAGATAGGGGGAAATGGCGGTAAAATGCATGTTTAATCCCTTTTATAGAATTAAGTGAGTAGAAAAATAGAAATCATATTTCATCAATTCCTTATACATCGAAGCATTCATAAAATGTATACTTTCTTTGTAACATATGTATCATGTTAAAGGTTCCGCCATACATCTCTTTTAATTGGATTGTTAGTGTAAACATATTGTATTTAAAATAAATTGAACTAGGATTGGTAAACAAGCCGTAATGGCTTATTTGAATACCTCTCCATTTCAGTGATACATGCATAAAACAAATATTAAATAATATGCAGCATGATAGGAAAGCAAGCAACCTGCGTATTAAACATTATTGATCATTTATCAAACCTATGCGATTTTATTATAAAAGTATGGACAGATTGTAGTATGAAACAATTTACAAGTACAGTTTTGTTTGGATTACCATTTAGGACAGAATTTAAATTATATCCATGTTCGTAAAAATACATGCGATGTCTGATGTTAGAATAATTAGGACAAGTAAAGAAGTAATGTAAAAAGTATCCTCATAGGGGTGACCACAGGAACAGAATGGATCAACTGAAATGTGCCGTTCAAACATGTGCGCTTTCAAATTACTGCACCCAAGTCTGAGGCGTGAGTGGATAATTTGGCAGAAACGTGTACCAACGTTTTATCAAATATATTAAAATTGGGTGGTTTTGATGATTGAATGCATTTTTGAATTTGCCTATGGTTTCAATATCGTACATATTCTCAGGCAAATCATTCCATTGTCGTATTGTATCTGGTAAAAACGAGTTGCTATACAAATCACTACGGCATCTTATAGTTTGAATGTTATTACAGTTTCTTTGTCTATGGTCACTTAACTGTGATACCTTTTCGGGCAGTAGATCACTTAAATAAACTGGTGTCATATGATGAACCATTTTGTAAAATAATGATAACTTGCTAATTTGTCTACGGTCAACTAGGGGCATAGAGTTAGTTTCCTTATGTATTTAATCATGACCAACTGGTCTATAGTTGTTACATTCATTAAAACTACCTTTTTTATGAATAGGAGTAACAACAGCTTCCTTCCATATTGTTTGGAATTTACAACATTCTAGGGATAAATTGAATAGATTAGTAAGAGGAGTACAAAGGGATGGCACGATCACTTTGATAAATCTGTTACCTATTTTACTTTACATTCAGGTGTAGGAGTCTCCTTATCAGGATAGTCAACTTGTGCATGGTTAGCAAAATATTCATTAAATATATTTGCTTTATCTTTACTATCATTGATCAGATTATCGTTATGAATAATCGAAGGAAATTTCTTATAATCTCCATTTTTGAATTTTATATACTTATTCACTAAAGCCCACCAACATTTAGAATTACTCCCCTGATTGATCTTATCATCTAAATCAGAAATATATTTCAATTTGACTGCTCTCACGGCTGCTGTTACTTTGTTCCGTAAAAGCCTAAATATTTGCCAGTCTTTATCATAATTTCGAGTCTTTGCTTTCTTATGCTGTCTATTTCTTTTCCTGATAAGTATTCTTATAGCACTATTCATCCATGGATTGACCCGAGGTCTTATAATTACCACATTGTTTGGGACATAAATATCGGATATATTTCTCAAAACATCAACAAATTCATGTGTTAGTATATCAATATCATTACATCTAAAGATGGAATTGGGTTGTTATATATAGGTACTTTTAATATGGTGGAATTATTTATAAACTGATTACAGGGATGGACTGTTTTAATCTACCCCCTTGTCTTGTCACCTTTTAATCTACTTTTAGAAACTGCAAACATGTTTTGAAGCGTTGTATTATTTCCTGGAAGTTACGACTTCATCTATTTAACGGAACAATACACAAAGTTGTGAGTTTCGAAAACTGAATTAGAGTTTCAGAATAGCTTACGAGATAACTGAACTGACAGATAAAAAAAGCATACACATATATTTGCATTGACGGCGGTTAAAATTGACACAAATATAAATGGTTATTGGATTGCGATATATTTTTAATACGGATGTCATAGTGCCGTGTTCGACCTTCAGTTTGCAGCGTTTCGACGTTTGTTTTAAGACCTGGACGTTTGGTTTCACTTGTGTACTTTCTTTTGCAGGCCAATTTACAAGCGTATCGTAACGTTGTTTATTAGAGGTGAATCATTTACAAAACAGAAGTTATATATAATCTTATTTTTCAACACTACATATAATAATAATAATAATAATGTGTCCATTTATATAGCCCCAAACTCCACACTAGGTATGCTCATAGCGCTAACAATCAAGGCCATTATTACCCCGGATAACCCAAGCTGCCTGTTAGGCGCTAGAAGGTTAACTTTTTTTCCACCGGGTACCCATTTTCCTGCTGGGTGAACAGAGACAATTTTGAACAAACTCACTTGCCTTAGGTGAGACCACATGTGTCAGATGTGCTTCGTTGTGGGACAGGACTCAAGTCCTAGAAACTCTCAGGACTCAAGCTGCCAAACACGGTCACCCATCCAAGGACTCTCCGAGCTCGACGCTGCTTAACTTCACCGATTTGTGACCTGAGCTTTAAGCACAGGACCACGCGCCACCACTAGGACTACGCGCCACCACTAGACATAAAATGTTTCAACTTTGAGAGATATTAATTGACTCAACGCTTAAATCTGGGGAGTTGACACGGTTATGACCTAAATCCACGTATGGACGGAAGTTTGTTCATTAGCTTATGATCGGAAGTGAATGTTACCTGGTACAAACATTCACACTTGGTGAAGCAATGTTACCTAGTACAAACATTCACACTTGGTGAAGCAATGTTACCTGGTACAAACATTCACACTTGGTGAAGCAATGTTACCTAGTACAAACATTCACACTTGGTATCTATTCAGCAAGTCATCTTTACTCACCAAGACTCACCCGTTACTCAGTACTATTGACACTGATGTAATTAATCTTAACTGACTAACCTCATCCGGGACATTGTGAAGCGTTGATTGCTTGTGTGTTTATTATGAGTGAGTTACTTACGTCACTCATCTTCTGATCACAAAGCGGCTTGTGTTTTTGTAGAATGGTATGGGATGGTGAGGTCCGTGGTGTCAAAAATTGGCGTATCAGGTTAAAAATATTTTGTCAAGCATTGGATTAAGTAAAATATGGTTAAGGCAGGAATTACTACTATATTATCTAATAGTTATGAAACAAAAACCAAAAAAAGACCAAGGCGGCGGGGTAGCCTAGTGGTTAAAGCGTTCGCTCGTCACGCCGAAGACCCGGGTTCGAATTCCCACATGGGTACAATGTGTGAAGCCCATTTCTGGTGTCCCCCGCCGTGATGTTGCTGGAATATTGCTAAAAGAGGCGAAAAACCAAACTCAGTCAGTCAGTACTGTTGACACTGATGTAATTAATGTTGACTGACTAACCTCATCCGGGACATCATGAAGCGTTGATTGTTTGTGTGTTTATTATGAGTTATTTACGTCAGTCATCTTCTGATCACAAAGCGGCTTGTGTTTTTGTAGAATGGCGTGGGGTGGTGAGGTCCTCGAGCGACGTCATTGGGTCCAGGAGCCGATCCAGTTGGGTAGGCTAGTTGAGTTAAACCTTGTATTCATTGCATCCATGGTCCAGTATTTGACGCCCCTGCCTAGTGTCCTCTTGAGTGTACGTAATATGATAGAAACTTGCTAAAGTGTCGTAAATAGAAGCGACTAGACACTTCCTATGTTGAAAAGACATCTCCACCAAAAGTAGAGTCGATGTTACGATTTGAACTTTGCCAGAAGTACGTTTTCATGAATCACGAGGTGTTCGCGAATAGGTTCCCCACTACTCACAAACCTTTCACTTGATCCATTTGTAGTGACGATTCATTTTTATTGACGAAGTGGTAAACCAGAGTAGATTTATAACTTCCAGAATACGTCGAGGACATTTAATTGAAGGATGAGAAAGCCGCAATAACTCAGTGAGTTGTATGATCCCCAGGGAGTTGAGATTGATAATAAGATGTGCCTTTGGGATTGACATCCAGTGATCGACGGAATAATTACCAGCGCCTTCAGCATGTACTAGTGCGTGGATATGTGCGCTACATAAATATTCAATAATAATAATAATAATATTCTATGAACTAATCACAGAAAACCGTGTTCGCGAGGGAAATTTCCACCCTACCAGTAACACCTGCCGCTCACTAACTCGTATTAAATACCTAACGAGGAAATACCGTAGGGATAACGATTTATGTTCGTTTTTGAAAATAATTGTTGCTGGAAATTTTAAAATATTAAAGAAAATTATGCTGCCGACTGACAGAGTAGTGTATATCCTGAAATGTGTTAATCAGGCTCATTGTTTCAAAGTGTCCCGGGATATCGACCATTTTGGGCGTGCCATGAACCCAGCAACTAAACAGTCGATTTTACAGCCAGGGACGTGGGGCACTGGCAACATTGCAATAGTGTAGTGTTTGCAACTTGGAAGCCACAATGAAACGTTTTTCAAAATGTTTACGTGTTTTGTTTTAAACAACACCAAAACTCTAGGTGTGTACTTTCTTTTGTACGTCAGTTTAGTTGAGCATATACACGTGCTAATGATATAGGTGATCGAGGTGAGTTGAAATGGGGTTTAACGTCGTATTCAAGAATAT